ACGTGCTGCTTCTGGTACTTCTGCAACCACTCCTCAGACCTCCCAGCACAGTGCTGGGCCTGTAGGTCCCAGGCCACTGACCCACCCATGGGCCAAATCAGACATGAAGGAAGTTGTTCTGGTTACTTCATGCCTTGCTAATGGAAAATAACACAAGTGGGTGGCTTTAACAAACAGGAGTTTATTCTCTTACAATGTTGGAGGCTAGAAGTCTGAGTTCAAAGTGCCAGCTCTAGGGGCTAGGTGAAGGCCCCTCAGCCTTGGTCTTCAGCTCTGCCTCTTGCTCCTGGCCCACTGGAACTGGAGGCTTCTCTTAACTCAGGAAGCTGCTGGCTGCTAAGGACAAACCCACGGTCGACATATTACCAAACAATATGGCAGGCCACTAATTCAAGTCCAGAGATAGTCTCAAGATTGGCAGACAACATGGCAGGCTGCTGAATGAAGACTCGGCTACGTGCAGGGTCCAAGTGCGCCAAAAAGCTGCAGACCTTTCTCAAAACTTCCCTTTACGTACTGGAAGCAGACCACATCCCTAAGGCAGCTACTCAGCTGCTCACGTTAGATTCCACCATGGAGTTGATGACCAGTCTTACCAGTCTACACTCAAAGCCAGGTCCAGCCAAGTTGATACACAACCTTAACTACCACAGGAGTGTTCTTCTTAAGAGCACACCTAGGACATCACTGTGACCCTTGGACCAAAGCTGTTTCCCCTACCCAGAGCTGCCTGAGGACTGGATAGCAGGTCCCTGGTGGAGGTCCTGGGATGTCTGAAGAGCCAGGGCAGAGGGTGGCATGTGACAACCCTCTTCATAAAGAAAAAATTCAGAAGGAGGAAAAGATATCCACTTACCTCGGACCTTGCTCCCAGGAAACCAGGGCCCAACTCGTCTTCTGGATTCTCTTTGAAAGCAAGAGCAGGGTCTTGAGAGGGCAGAGGTGGGAAAGGAGGAGAGAGTCAAGGAGAGGCTGTTGTGTGGAAGGCCACCAGACACCCGGGCTGAGCTAAAGTCCCTCCAACCAATGGCACAGAGAGGGACCAGAGAAGAGTCAGGAGCTATCCCTGGCAGGGTGGAACAAGCCTCAGTGTCCACACGATCTCATACACCATCAGAGATTCATTCTGTCACTGCCTCAGACACGCCAATTCATGGAAAAAACAAACACACTGCCAATCCCTTCCTTCCATCAGCATGTCTGAGGTAGTGGGAACAAGTATTTGTACACTTGAAGAAGCAAGAGGCCTCATTTTGCTGGGTACTTCTGGAAAATTCGCCTGACCTCTCGGTCTCTCCTGACACCAAGCCAAGCTGTACCTGTCTCCGTAGGTTTGGGGGCAGGGGCCTCCATGGTGCCCCTTGGCAGCGTCCCCGGGAGGGTGGGCAGCTCTGTGGCCTCCTACGACTGACGGACAGCGGCCTGCGGGAGAGCCTCGCGGGGTCGCACAAGCAAACACACACTGCCGTTCACATCTGCATAAGGACACACACGGAGCCGCAGCGTCCGGCTCTCGGTGGAGAGGTGGGCGCGCTGGGGGAAAAGCCAACGCACAACCCTGACTGGCTCACACACAATCACACAGCTGCTCGTGGCAGGCCTCGACAGGCTCCACGCGCACGATCACATGCACCCGCACACGGGAGCCCTCCTCTGTGCCCCGGCAGGCACGCACACGCACACACGCGCCATCACGCCCCGTCACGCACTCCCCTGGGCGACCCGCTCCGCAAGAACCACGGCCAGCCAGCCTCAGTCGCCAGGAGCCGGCGGGCGCGGAGCACGGCCAGCAGTAGGGCCCTGAGATGGACTGAGAGACGGACGGACAGATGGGTGGACGACGCAGGCCCGCCACAAAGGACAGTGACCCACCGCCACAAAGAAGCAGCAGGGATGCCGCCGCGAAACGTGCGCCTGCGCGCAACAGATGCGAACTACAACTCCCGGAAGCCTTCGCGCCGCGCAGACGTCAGACTTCATTTCTCAGACAGCCTCCTGAGCCTGACCGGTGTGTGGCACACCCTTCTGGGACATGTAGTTCCGGGCGGGGAGCTGAGCGTTCTGGCCTCGCCACTCTCCTACCTTAACCTTCCAAACCAAACCAAACCACACTTACTGCCATGCTCCGACTCATAGCGATCCCCTTTGGGTTTCCGAGGCGGTAAATCTTTATGATTACCAGGAGCTCTAGTAGCGTAGTGCCTAAGGCATCTAACTGCTAACCAGAAGGTTGGTGGTTCAAATCCACCAGCCACTCCTCGGAAAGAAGGTTGGGCAATCTATAGGAGCTCTGGTGGCATAGTGGTAAGGCACTTGACTACTAATTGGAAAGTCAGCAGTTCAAACCTGTCAGCTGCTCTGTGGAAGGAGAGTGGATGATCTACTTATGTAAAACTTTAGGAGCTCTGGTAGCATAGTGCCTAAGGCACTTGACTGCTAACCAGAGCCTGGGGGTTCAAACCCACCAGTCACTCCCCAGAAGGAAGATTGGGCAATCTACTTCTGTAGTGATACTGCCTCGGAAACCCAAGACAGGTCCAACTCAATGGCAAAATAACAACAACAACAACAAATCTTTATGGAAGTAGATTGCCCAGTCTTCCTTTGGCAGAGTGAGTGGGTGATGGGTTTGAACCGCCAACCCTCTGGTTAGCAGTCAAATGCCTCAGGGACTACCTTACTTGCTGGAAAAACCTGTGTAAGTCAGTGTGTGTGTGTGTGTGTGCGTGTAGGGGGTTTAGTAGTGGTGGTGGTGGTGGGTCTCTTATTGCGAGGAAGTGGGTGTAAGGTGTTGGGAGGGCGATGCCCAGAAATATGGAATTGTCCTGTCTGTTCGTCCATGTCCGTGGCTCACATTTACCTTTGCAGGAACGATTCAAGTCTGTCATGCTAGGTATACTGAAGGTGGTGGGCTGGAACCTGAGGGGTTTTCCTAGGAGCAGCTGAGGCCCAAAAGGAGTGACTCCTGGAGGGGAACCGTGCTGGCCCAGCCTTGGCACAGTGCTCTAACCCTAACAGTGATAACACTAATTACAGTAACAACCAGTATTTATTGAGTACTGACCACGTACCAAGCAGATTTCCAAGGGCCTGGCATATAGTGTCAACAGCCCAGGGAGGATTACAAAAAACAAACTCACTGCCCTCGAGTTGGTCCCGAGTCATCGCAATCCCTCCTTGGGTTTCTGAGGCGGTATCTCTACAGAAGTAGATTGCCCAGTCTTCCTTCCAAGGAGTGGCTGCTGGGTTTGAACCGCCAGCCATTGGTAGCTATTATTATCCTCATTTTAGAAAAGAGGAAACTGGATTACAGAGAGGGTGGCTACCTTGTCCCAGGTCACACAGCCAGGAGATGGTGGAGTTAGGCTTTGAATCCAGACCTGAATAACTCCAGAACCAAAGCTCATTACTGGGTTATGGAAGGACTGGCCTAACAAAGGTGTCAGTGGAGACTGACAGTTCCTACACCCTTCCCCTCCCACAAATTGACAAGAGGTTCAGCTTTAGTCTGTCACCGATCTAGTTCTGAAATCATAACTAGAAAGTCAATTGCAGTTCAGAGAAAAATTTAATAAGAGGATAGTGACTTTGCAAGGTGCAAACACACAGGCAGGCCCAGAGGTGTGTCTCCTCGAGCCTTGCAGGCGAAGTGTTTTTATAATGATTTTGGGGCTATGGGGCATGTGATTTCAAAAGTCCTATGCAGGCAGTTTACTCATACAGACCCTGACCCTTTTACAAGTCAAGGAAGTGAAACAAGACTGCGGGACTATGCCATTCTTGCAATAAGCCTCAGCTTCCTTCAGGCTAGGTAAGTGAATGGAGTCTATGGTCTTCAAGGTGGACACTGGGTTGAATATTTAGTTCCCGTTTTAGATCCATTGTTTGAGGTGAGTCAAGCAAACTCAAAAGCTGGTTACTGCTGACTGCGGGCAGTGGGCTGTGAAACATCTTAAAAATAGCCTTATTATCAGCAAGTGCCATCCAAGTTACATCCCTTTCAGGTCCCATGATTTACAGAATGCGGTCATTCTGTCTGTGAGTTATTCCTGTCCTGGTCTATGTGGTTAGTCTATGTGGAAGCAAGTCATAACTCATATTCTACTGTTAATATTAGTGAAATTGAGCAGAGTTAGTATAAAGTGTAAAATAAATGTTGTCTTTGTTGTAAATGTTCTATCTGTACTGCTATAAGCCACTGTATCCTGGACTCCTCTGCTGTGGTAGCCAGCCTCCAGCATGGCCCCATTATTCTTGTCTCCCGAGTCACGCTTCTCACACTGAATAGGGCTGAATATTGTGGAAATGCTGGTTTGTGGAAGGAGAATGAGGTCATAAAAAATATTGTAGATTCTTAACATACTACACAAAGTCACTGTTCCATCTCCTACTTTGATGTGTAGCGACTGGGATCTTAAAAGCTTGCAAGCAACCATCTAGATACAATGATGGGTCTCTTCTCATCCAGAGCAAGGAAGAATGAAGAAAACCAAGGACGCATGGAAACAATTAGTCCAAGGAACTGGGACACCATGTAATCCTCAGCCTGTATGACTATGAGACCAGAGTTAGATGGTGCCTGGCTACCACTGTCAAGCACTTGGATGGGGGATCTATGTAAGAGATTCTGGATAGAGTGGGAGAACAATGTGGAACAAAACTCAAAATCATTAAAAAAAAAAAAAAAAAGGAGGGGGGTGGAGACCAGATTTGCTGGTCTGATAGAGCCTGGTGGAACCCCTGAGACTATGCCCCTAGCTGCCCTTCAGGTCTGGAATTGAACCCACTCCAGTGGCTTGCAGCCAAACAAAAGGCAGGCATATGAGCTGAACATTTACTGGTGTAGTGCCTAAGGCATTTGACAGCTAACCAGAAAGCTGGCAGTTCAAACCCACCAGCCACTCCTTGGAAGGAAGGTTGGGTAATCTGCTTCCATGGTGATACTGCCTCGGAAACCCAAGGAGGGGTTGCTATGAGTCAGATCCCACTCAACAGCAATGGGTTTAGATACACTCCTTGGAGAGATCAATCATGGCAGAATAGAAGGGCTGTGTGTGCACAGGAAGACAGCTCGGGGTGGGAGTGCATGGGAGGGAAGGACACAGGGAAGAGGTAACTATGGGGAGGAGGTGAGAAGAGAGCTGTTGCATTGTGGGAAATTGCAGTCAATGTCATGAGACAAAGTATATGTGAGCTGCTGTATGGAAAGTGAATTTGCTCTGTAAACTTTGACCCAAATCACAATGAAATGAAAAAGAAATGAAAGGATGACCTCCAACCCAAGGAACCAAATCCCAAGAAGTGTTTGGTCATATATAAGCAGCCTCAACGGCTACTTTTTTTTCTTTTTGTCATTGTTGTAAACATATCTATCACAGCACGATTGCCAATTCAACTTTAAACAGGTGTACAACTTATTGACAGCAATTACAATAATTGGCTGTGCAGCCTGCCCTTAATTGGTGTGATTTTTCCATCAATGGTGTGCATGTAATTTAATGTCAGATTATAATAAGGGATATGATGAGAAGTAAAGTAAAGGGTTGAGGGATGGAGACAGGAGGGCTGAGAATTTAGAGTAGACAGAGAAAAGGTAGCATTTGAACAAGGCCACGTGTAAGGGGAAGGAGTAAGATGCAGAGCCAACCCATGGTGTTTTCAATCGCCTCGTATGCATGTGAGAGCTGGACAACAAATAAGGAAGACCAAAGAAGAGTTGATGCTTTTGAGTTGTGGTGTTGGTGAAGAATTCTGAGAGTACCATAGACTGCTGGGAGAATGAACAAATCTGTCCTGGAGGAAGTGCAGCAGAAATGCTCCTTGGAAGTGACAATGGCCAGATTTCATCTCACGTGCTTTGGTCATGTGGTCAGAAGGAACCATTCCCTGGAGAAGGATGTCATACTTGGTAAAATGGAAGGTCAGCAGAAGAGTGGAAGACCCTCATAAGATGGATTGACACAGTGGCAGCAACGATGGGCTCAAGTATAGCGAGGATTGTGAGGATGGCGCACAACTGGGTGGTGTTCCGTTCTGTTGTTCATAGGATTGCTATGGGTTGGAGCCACCTTTACAGCACCTAACAACAACAACAAGATGCAGATACTTGGGAAATGAGCTTTCCAGGCTAAAGGCCCTTGAGGTGGGAGTGAGTGTGGCATGCTCCAGGAAAAGAAAAAAGTATAGCAGGAATCAAAAGAGCAGGGAGAGACAAGATCTGAGATGGGTAGCAACTGAATTGTGCAGTCATTGAAATCATTTTACAAGCCATTTTCTGTCAGTTCATATTCTTCATAAGTGTAATTTCTGACAGCAGCCTATCAGGTGCGTATTCTAAGATTTAATGACTATAA